CTCATATTGCTTTAAGTCTGCTCCTTGGTTGTGAGGTGCAGCTGGCCTAGGGCACGGCAACACCACATGATAATTTAAACAGGAGACAGAGTATTAAGTTTCTTGACAAGCTTCCGTTGCCATGGTTAAATAATCCAATGCTACAGCTAGGTACACTGCCCTCACCTGGTCTGCTATATTGTTTGGAAAAAGGTCGTTAAAGATCCCTTTTCATCAATGTGATTAAGACCCCAGGTCTAAGTTTCACTGGACATTCCATGCTCCATTCCAGAGCACTGACTCAAACAAAGAAGTGTGCCTCTGAATCACTCACTATAGCCATGGGCATCTTGCCATCAGGGAGATATTGCAGCAGGGACTGCTGTCCAATCCAGGTCTGTCATGCATTAAAAAAAAAAAAAAAAAAAGGTAGGAAAGACCTACATGAATACATGGGAGTTCTAAGGGAATGTATTCGGATGGTTACAGAGGGATGGAGAGAAAAGAGACGTGTACCACAGAAACAGCAAGAAAAATGCAACTAAAAGAAGAGAAGAAGGGAAACAAAGGACTGAGATATTTTGGAGAAATTAACCAGCAAAAAGCAAAGGCTTTGCAAACAATGACAGAGCAGCCTGTCACACAGCACTGTGGAAATCAACGCCTGGCTCCACAGTGGGAAAGGCAACACCAGGGGCCTTATTACTGAGGAATGCTGTGCTGAGCCAGCAGTGCCATCAGGGAAGCCTGATACGCCCTGGGAGGTCAGTCTCCTGAAGGAGGAGCCATGATGCGTCCCCAGGAGTTACCTGCAGGTCATCGTAGAGGCTGCCGCTGAGGTACATGTCCCGCAGGGGCATGTCCGGCAGCTTGGCGCGCAGGAAGCTGCGCAGCTCCGTGCAGATATCCACGGCCGCCTGCTTGGCCCGAGCCTGCTCGTCCGCCGGGATCGCCACCCGCCGCCGGTAGTAGGCAAACAGCTTCTCCTGCAGGGACAGGCGAAGGCGGGACTTCTTCAGCTCCACCTGACTCCTCTTGGCAGATGGCTTGGGCTTTGTGGGTCGAAAGACGTCTGCAAGACAGAAGGAAAACTGTTGAGGTTGCAGCTGATTTCGCTGTGAAGTGTTCTGCAGAAGAGAATCTGCAGCATGGAACTGCGGTCTCCCAGGTCTCAAAAAGCCCTTGGCAGACATTTTGCAGGCTTTATGCAGCTACCACACCAAAGGGGCGTGCTGAGGAACTTCAAAACGTACTACTAAAAGCAGCAGAACAGATGAAAACAAGTTACTAGAACTAAAATTTGGCCAGACTAATATTGTGTACAAGGATGAAATTTTAATGGCTACGTGGGCAGTATCTCAGCTCAATTTCATAAAAAATTCAGTACTGTTACCAGTTCAAAAGCTTTCAGTGTGATGCCAGATCAGTGAATAAAACACTTTTGAACAACCACCATGATCTCTTTGAGTTTTGAACATTGAAACAGATTACTACAAATTACCAGCAAAACCCAGTCCTGACTAGCATATGAGATCAGAGAAGACTGTGCCACCTGGAAATGAAACAGTTGTTGGGAGTCTGATCAGCACAGTAATTAGGATGATGAGCTGACAGATCTTGGGGCCATCCCAGCTCAGGCCATCATTTCTCCAGTGATACCACCCTGAAATCTCCACTGGAAAAAGACCAGAGAGCCCACTCAGAAGCACAATGCAACAACACAAGGTTTACATTGCTATCTGCATTACTAAGCCATGTCTGACCTGCACAGATTCTCTGAGTCCCTTTTTTTCTGATTGGTTTCCCAAAGAAATAAATCAATGCTTCCCATCTGTTTCAGATTTCTCTTAACATTGACGAAGAGTTTCAGAAGTTAACAATGAGAATTAAAGGGGAATTACAGATCTAAGAGAACTTTGGAAGGGCTGTGATACCTATGGGTGCAAGAGAAATCCGAAGTCAGTGGCCCCATTAAAGCAATTGGCTGTTGCAGATTTGTTTGATGATTTGGCCACACAGCACAGGAGGAATGGCTGACCAAGCTGTACACAAAGCCATCTATCCCAGCCTTAGCAGCTGCTGTCTCTTGTCCCACTGGATTCTTTTGGACAGATGTGAGCTTTCTTCGTGTAAAGGAAATAATGTACTAAACCACAGGGAACTGGATTTCATTGCTTATTTATGAAAAAAATTATTTTCCTTACTGAGTTTTAATTTACTTCTAATTGAAGAAATTAAGACACCATCATCAATGTTTTTATTACTCAGCCCATATGCTTGGGGACACCAATTGAATTATCTAGACCACATTTAACATAGCTATCTAGTTTTTACTGTTTCCTCAGCAGAAAACCTATTGCCATCCCAAAGATAACTTCCTTTAAAATAATCTGGAAATCAAGTTAATAGCTTGATTCTGATTTTTAGTTTAAATCTCCAAGTGTAATTCTCCTAGTGACCAGAGACAGAAAGTAAAACCATTGAGAACAAAGAACCAACCACACGTAACAAAACAAGGTTGGATTCTAAATTACTGATTATCCCACCCAGAAAGAAAATGACAGGACACTTTCTATAGACTACTGAAGACACAGTGATAAGCAGTATTAAACAGGGAAATGTCAATCCAAAAATTATTTGGAAAATGGCAGCAATAATACAGGCAATACTGTTATAAATTGCTACTACATTCCCAGCTTGAGTACTCCCCCTTTAAAAAGATGCAAGCAAACTGAAATGATCCGAAGAAAGGCAGGAGAGTGCTTGAAATTAATGGAATAGCTTTCTATCACGAAAAATTAGATACTCATATTGAAAGAACAAAAATGAGGGAGAATAAAGCTCAACACCATGAAATCATGAGAGGAATGAACACTGCAAATAGATGACCATTATTGACTAGTTCCCAATGTCATCTCTGATTCTTGAAGTTACCAGTGGACCTGCTTAAAAGAAAAACATAAAAATCCCAGGTCAGACAGGGTATTTCCTTCCCCTGCATTCCTTTAAACAAATACAGGGCTTATAGGCCTGGATGACTCTCTGATACAGGAGGATGAGCATGCCTCTTACCAGTGTCTGCAGCTGAAGGATCAGTGGGAAGGGTCTGCAGGGAGCGGCTGAGGCTGGTCTTCATATCCTGGGTCAGCAGGCGTGAGGAGGAGCCCAGCCAGTTTGGCTCTTCCCAGCTCCTCTTTCCCGACTGGCTCAAGCGAGTGGGGCTGCTGGGAGCACTGATTGCCCGGTCGTACATCTAAACGGGGGAGAGTTTGAGTCACTGAGGGCCCAACGCTTGCACTTTACCCAGGGCACTGCCAGCAGCCCGCTCCGGAGCCGTGCCCGGTGCCGGCCGTGGCGCGGGCTCGTCACTCACCCGCTTGACGGCCAGCGTGGCGATGCCCAGCATGGCGGCGCCGCCCACGCCCAGCACCAGCCGCGCGTTGGCCAGCACGAAGTCGATGGCGGTGCCGATGCCGTTGTCATCCTTCTTCCCTTTGCGCTGCCCGGCGCCTGCCATCTCACCTGCAAGCAGCGGGAGCGTTACACAGCGGGGCTAAATGCTGACGGTTCTGCCCTTCTCCCACACCTCACACCCGCTGCTGCCGCCGGGTTTTACCGCAGGAACGGCCCACCCAGCCCTGCACCCTCTGCAATTGTGCTCCCCCAAAGAGCTGCTTGCTCCCAGCAGTGCCAGGACAGTACCGACCAAGCAACGTCCAGTGCCTGAGGGAACACATCCAAATTTGATGTGAGCTTTCTAATAATTGAATGGGTTTAGTGAAAGGAAGTAGAATTTACTTCCGCAATAAAATCCTTCATATTAAGGAAAACTCTCTAACTATTCAGGTATTTTTCTTATAATTTGTGTTTCTCAAGCAAAGCACATCCAATTTATTTTGTAATTTTAATGTAACAAGGGTGACTTTGCTCACAGACAAGGCAATACAGGGTTGATCAACTGTCTGGCACAAAGTGGAATCTTCCCCAAGAGCTGACAGGCAGTCTCAGAGCTTTCATTCACAGATTGATTTCTGAACAGTGTCCAACCCCATATACTTCAAAGACACCCAAGAATCAACAGCAGACTGCAACACATCATAAAAGGAACAGCTCCCTTGCCTTCATTTGATATTTATTCCTGCCCTCAAGGCTGGTGGGTTTGACTCACAGACAAATCATGTAAAACACTGGCACGAATATTTTCTAATATGTGTACTTTTATGTCCTCAAATTTTCATTTAACCTCACCTTGAGATTTAAATTTAAAGAGTCTCTCAGGCCAACATGGCCTGAAGCTGTGCCAGCAAAGGCTCAGGCTGGACATCAGGAGGAATTTCCTCACAGAATGGGTGATTAGACATTGGTATGGCTGCCCAGCAAGGTGACAGGAGTCACCATCCCTGGGGGTGTCCCTTGGACGTGACAGGCAGTGCCATGTTCTAGTTACAAGGTGGTCATCAGTCAAAGATAGGACTCAATGATCTCAGAAGCCTTTTCCGACCTAAATGAGTCTGTGATCCTGAAAAACGCACTTTGCCATCCCTGTAGCCATAGGTGGATCCCCTGGTGAACCTATATGAAAACATCAAGAAACACCTGCACTGTGATTTTAGGTTGTTTTCTGCACCAGTGTCCAAGGCTCTGAGCCTGCCCGCCTGATTGGGGTGGTTTAAAACTGCCATTTGTTTTTTATAAAGCCAAGCCAGCGGGAATGTTCCTGCCTGGATGAACCAAGAATACATTCACCTGTCATCCCCAAACAGAAAAAACCCTGAACTCTCGCAAAGCTCACTGTAACAGCAGCATGAAGAACGCAGTTTTATCATTGTAGATGACCTACCTGTGACCTAATGCATTTGTGAAGAGAACAGGAGAGGCCTCCTGGCGTGCCTGTGGAAGCACTTTCAGGACTTCTTCAAGCAAGTGGTGGGTAGTGAGTGTTAATCATCCCTTCTGGCTGGCGAGAGGATTTTGGAAAGACGAGGGAGGTACGTGAGACCGGTGGGAGCTACAGGGAATGTCTAAACCAGGCCCCCGAGCCTGCTCTGCAGGAAAGCCCGTCCCTTCTCCAGCTGCCTTTCCTTGTCCTCCAGCCGCTGCAGCCCCTGGTTCCGGCGGAACTCGCGGCGGACGGAGGCGAGGTAGAAATCGCGGTCGGTGTAGCGCAGGCCGCGGCCGCGGCGCAGCAGAGCCCGGTACAGACTCAGCACCGCCTCCCGGGACCACGCGGCCATGGGGGACGGGTGTGGGGCGCGGGCGGGCGACCTGCAGAGGAGTGACCGAGGCCGGGATCCGGCTCAGCTTCTCCCTTCCCGAGAGACCCGCCGGCCGCTCGGTGCCGCGTCCGCCTGTCCCACGGGCAGGGGTAACGACCCGCCCGGGCCGGGGCGAGGCGAGGCGAGGCGAGGCGATGCGCGGGGGCCGCTGCAGCCCCGCGGGAGGAGCGCGGCCGCCCCACTCTCACCGGGCCGCTCCGGGGGTCACCCGCCAGAAGCGATTCCGCTTCCGGGCCGCGGCCCCGCGCCCGCCAATGGCAGCGCCGGCGGCCGGGCAGCGAGCCGCGCGGGCCTCGGGCGGCGGCGGCGGCGCGGCGCTGCTGCCCTCTGGCGGCCGGGAGGGGAATGCCCGCGCCCGGCCCGGCCCCGCTGCCCGGGATGCTCCGGCCGGGAAGGGCCCCGGCAGCCCGGGATGCTCCGGCCGGGAAGGGCCCCGGCAGCCCGGGATGCTCCGGCCGGGAAGGGCCCCGCTGCCCGGGATGCTCCGGCCGGGAAGGGCCCCGGCAGCCCGGGATGCTCCGGCCGGGAAGGGCCCCGGCAGCCCGGGATGCTCCCGCTGCCCGGGGCTCGGTGTGCTGCAGCACAGCGCGCTGGGCTGCCGGCCCCGGAAGGCAGCGTGTCTGCCGTGCGCCACGGTCATGGAATCACGGGTTCCGTTAAGTTGGAGAAGACCTCTGAGGTCATGGAGTCCAGGCTCTGACTGAATAACGCCTTGTCAACCACATCGTGGCACCGAGTGCCACATCCAGTCGTTCCTTAAACACCTCCGGGGTGACTCCTGCACCTCCCCTGCAGCCCATCCCTAATGTCTAATCGCCCTTTCTGCAAAGGAATTTCCCCTATGTCCAACTTGACCCTCCCCTGGAAGAGAGCAGTGGATCAGTGCTGCATCTCAAGTTTCTTCTGACTTCTGGGGTGCTTTTAACAGACTGACTTATCAAATTCAAGCTCCTTATCTTTATCTCCAAGGTACCCCAGGGCTTGGTCTGGAAGCCTCAAGGCTCCGGGAGAAGGGCAGTAGCTTGCAGCCTCTCTGGGATCTGCCTGAGATGATGGAAGAAGACTCCCAAAGCCAGAATGTTTTGCTCCACTGTCTGGGTGTAAACCCCACTTTTCTATTCTCACCTTCTCTACTATGAGGTGTGTCTGGGACATATCTATTTCTCCTTAGCCATCCCCTCCTCCCCAGGTCCTACCTAAATATAAAACATAATGTGCCGTGCCTCCCCTGGAGGGGAGGGTGAGAGAAAGAGCAAATGGTGTGTAACAGAGGAGAGCCACATCACTTCACACAATTCTCAGTGACACCAGATATGACAGTGATAGAGCTGAACAGGAAGAAAAACAGAAGCTCTGGACTGGCTCACTCTGTGCCAATCTCCTCTTGCTCATTTCCTTTCTGAGATAAACAACCCCAATCATTTTGATCTCTCTGTGAGCGAATTTGCCATGCCCCTAATCAGCCCTTTCTGAGAAGGGCTTACTTGAACTGCAGACAGTATTCCCAGAGAGGCTGCGCTAGTCATTTACATAATAGCATTATCATATTTTCCATATTATTCCCTCCTTCTTCCTTCTGCATGCTAATATTTTGTGTATGCTTTTTTTTTAACTTGCAGCTACTCTCAGAGCCAGGGTTTGTGTGACATTCATATTATTTCTTGGGTTGCTAGAGAACATCTGGAGCTTTGTAATTTTTATGTGCAATTTGTTTTGCCTCTTGTGACCTTGCACGTACCCAGTTGATCCTTGGCAAATATTTGCCACATTTGCATTTTACTCAGTCCTTTTTGGTCTCCTCAAGAGTCAATAGCTTCGAGTCAACTTTAAAAAATGTTTGATATATTGCTCATCTTTGTTTCCAGATCATCAGTTCCTGTACTGGGCTATCCAAGACCTCGGAGGCAGCATTCTCACTCTTAACCTGCTGCCAGAATGAAAATCGATCTTTGACCCTTCCTCCCGGCTTCCTGCCTCCTCCTTGGGTTGTTAATCCTCAGAAATACTTCCCTTCTCACAGGCAGGCTCTGTCATCCCTGGGCAGGTGTGCTGATGAGCCCAGCCCTCAAAACTCCCAAGTCTGGATCAGAACTTGAGCAGCCACATGTGGCAAACCGCTGGAGCACTGCCAGTGGGATATGCTGGGTGAGGCCGAGCAGGGATGGACATCCCTGCTGCCCTCCTGCTATGGCAGCCAAGGACTGCCACGTCCATAAGCGCCCCCTCCCCAGCCTGGCCCCCTGGGTTGTGCCGGTTTTGGTGTTTCTCTCTGTTCTTTCCCCCCCAGGCTGGCTGCCAGCTCCCGGGCCCCTCGCCAGCAGCTGTGTGTGCATGTTGAGAGCTCCCCCACCCACACTGTGCAGTGTCTCCAAGTGCCCCAGCCCTTGCGGGGACGTCACTCGCTGTGCCCGCTGCCCCATCGGCGCTGCCCACGCCTGCATTGTGTGGGCAGGGGTCTCAACCTGCCCCTTCTCTCTTGCACAGAGGAGGGCGAGTGCCAGGGCTGAGCAGCACACGCCTGACCCACTCCAGCTGCCGCACGAGTGCCCCACCTCTGGTGCCATGCTGGGGGTTGTAGACTTGAACCCTGCCTCGAGACAGTGACGTGTGATCCCTGTCTCCAGGGTTTCCCAAACTGCTGACGCGCTGCACGCAGCTGGTGGGACCCACCCAAAGGCCCAAAGACTTGTGTTGCCCTGAGGGCCCCAGGGCCCCGTTGCCTGCAGAACCCTGTTGCCCATGGACTCATTGGGAATGGAGTTCCCTCTGTGATTCTAGCCCATATCTCTGTCTGAAAGGGAATTCACTTGCCCTGACAGGGCCAGGTGCAGGCAGAGTGGAGGGAGCAGACCTTTGCTGTGCTCCTGGAGAACAATAACAACATTTGTTTCTCAAAATGACCAAGTGAGTTTGAAATTTCAAAGGCAGCATGTGTGACAGGGCACAGTAACCCGTGCTGTTACCTGGAATAAGACTAAGGCATCCCCTCCTGTCCCCTGCCTTCTCGGGGGTCTCCGGAGCTGCCACTCCTCTGCTGGTCTTCTCATGCTTGCAGCCAGTCGTCCCACTCAAGCAGCCACTGCCACAGGCTTTGATGGTCACTAAAAACAGCAAATGGCTGCCCCTGAGCCCAGCTTGCAGCCTCTGCTCCTGGGAGGCAAGGGCCATGCCCAGGACTTCCCACCACCCATTCTGCAAGGGCAGGACCATTCCCAGCCATGGAGACATCCCTGTGCTGCTTGTCACTAGGCAGCAAACCCTCCCTGGGCAGCAGGGAGGTGAATGTGAGCCTCAGAGCTGCAAATCAAATGGCATCTTGGAGGGGCTGTGCAGGGATGGGAAACAAACTGTGCTTGGAAGCAGAAGGCTGGTGTCTTAGCATAGCCAGAAAGCAGTTCTAAAATGTGAGGTGGAAGATAGATAGTGACCCACCAAGGGTATCTGAGCTTGAGCTTAAAATCTTTAGTATCTTCTAGTAAATGGACCTCATAGGAGGCCTTTTGGTAGTCTCAGCCCTGTTCAACAGCTCTTTTTTTAATCGCAGCTCTGTTTCTTTACTTTTCTTGAGCAGTCGCAAGGATTAATGGCATTTGAGATCCTGCTCCAGCTGTGACAAGCCAGGAGGGGCGGAGAGGCCCAAGGGCGGCACACGTGGCTTCATTCCCTGAAGCCCCAGCAGCTTTGATGTTGAGTGCATGTGGGAAGACAGGTGGTGAGGGAGGAGAGACCACTGGTACACAGCCACTTTTCAAGGAGCATTCCTGATTTCGAGCAGAGACCCACATTTTAGTAGGGACAGTAAGTATCTGATCTGGGAAGCCACGCTCAGGGTATGTTTTTCACAGGGGGAAGAGGGCAAAGGTCCCAGCCTCGCTGCAGCTGAAGTGGGGCTTTTCAGACCCCTGGACTTCCATCCCTGCAGTGCAGGGGGCTACAAACACTCTCAGCAGCAAGTGATCTTCTGTGTGAAGCAGAGCTGCTGTCCCTGTGAGGGGCTGCACTGACAGTCACTGAGGAGGCTCAGTTTTATTACCTAACACATTGAAATTGCTTCTGTAGTACTTTTACAATTGGTCTGTGCCCACCTTCACTCCCAGCACGACTCATGTTTCTTCAAACACATTTCCCCATGGCTGGGTTTGTTGGAGACTTTTCTCATTATTCCCTGACTGGTAAGATTCCATTCCCCAGCCTCCCTCATCCCATTTTTCACTTTGCACCAGCTGCATGCTGCAGGTTTACAGAGCCATTCAGAGACCCTGCTTTTGTGAGTGCTGTTGTCCTTGCAATCTTGCATCCCTATGACAGCCCCGGTTTTCTGCAGAGGGCTTGCAGCTGGTGGTACCACCTGCCTGAGCTGAGCTGCACATGCTGACCTCTTGCTTTCTTGTGCTCCTTTGCCTGCTGTGTGCTGGGATGAGGCCCTCTCGGTGTGAACATGGGATTTTGGTTTGTGTACGGGTATCCTGGACTCCAGCATCAGGTGTGGTTTGGTTCCCTGTATGTACAGACCACCTGAGAAGGGTATGGCTGCTATATTCTGCTGCTTCTCTTCTTTTTCCAAGCAAAGGCATCAATTGCACACCTTGCCCCTTAAGTCACAGGCCCTTAGATTTATTTTTGTCCCATTTACCTAGTTTTGGTTTTGCCATGGTCCGACATTCACTTCTGGGTAACAGTTTGAGACAAATGCTTTAAAAACACTGTGAAGTAAAAAGAAGTGGGTAGATGTTTTCTACATTCTTTTATTTTTGTGTGTATGCCTGGGTCTTAGTAAGTGTCTGAGGGGGAAAATATATATATATATAACTGATGATTTGTTGTTCTCTCTTTGGAAAAAGTCCAGACTGTAGAACAGGCTAAAATGCCAGGAAAGAGTTTGCTGCATAGAGGCAGGCTTATGTTATTTTATTTTATGCATTCCTTGGATAACATATTTTTTTTTAATTTCAGATCCTGGAGAAGTCATTTTAGATCTTTATTCAGCATAGCTTATTTGCTCTTCTTCTCAGTTTTCCTTATTTTTAGAAAGGTGAAGTGTGTTCCCAAATTAAATTGTTACTGACTTGGACTTAAGCCAAGAGGATCCATGGTTCAAGCCATAAGGCACAGGAAACACAAGAGTAAAACAATGGAGTTTTATACTGTGTTTCATTTGGCAGGGTGAGGAGAGATATGGCCTTGAAAGATTTGTATTCTTACATAGCTGTAATATATTTTAAAAGACAGTAAGGAGTATTTTCACTTCTCACTTTGCTTAAAACAAATAAGCACACACAGAAATGCTGAAAATGTTGGGATTGCCAGATGCTCCTTAGTTCCAAGTAAAGGTTCATGTCTGGAGATCTCAGAGATGCTTACAGTAATGTCCCAAACAATAGCTCCTTCACCTTTTTGCTGATATGCCTGTCCCTGCTGCAGCTTCAAAGGCAGAGCTTGCAGCAGCCTGGTCCCAAGCCAGGCTCCTCAACCAAGCATCCATGGATTATATTCCTTATCTCAGTTTCTCACTTCGAGATGGGCCAGTTTTGCAGTGACAGAGCAAAGCCCCTCATAGCTCTCTCCCAGGTGAGGGTTTGCCTTGGGCGTGCCCAGGAGGCTCAGGAACACACGGCACTGCCAGGAAGCAGAACGTGCCTCCCTTCTGCCATGGCCAAATCCTCTCTGTGGCAGTGCTCTGGAAAGCAGGGCAGCCAGCGCCTGCAGCTGTGGGCACATGAGCATGAAGCCATTTGCTGGTGATGCTCTCCGGGGCTGGGGTGACTCTCCCTGGCTGCTCCACGGGCTGCCTGCCAGCCAGCTGAGCCCTCACTGCTTCCCCAGCTGAGCCGCTAAAGCAGCAAGACTTAGAGCATAATATAAAATTGGATTAATACTTAAAAATTAACTGTCCCTGCTAAGCAGCACGTTAAAACGTGTGCTGACACAGGGAACAAACGTATCTCAGCAACACAAACAAACAGCTGGCAAAATGGGGTCTGGTATCCCCCTTCCAGCTTTCTGAAAGGTGTCTTACGTTTATAATGAAGTCACATTGTTTCCAAGCACCCTGGTGTTTGGAAACAGCATATCCCTCCCTTTACCAGCTACCCTGATAAGCATCAATAAGGAATGAGCTGGAGCCAGCCCCTCTGCGAGCCAGAGGGTTGCTCGCAGCCTCCCCACGGAGCAGGGTCGCACAGCGCCCAGGATGAGCACCAGACATCCATGACAAAGAGCAAGAGCTTGGGAGAAAACACTGACTTCCAGGCAGGTCACTCCAGAGCTCCTCCAGGATGCATCACCCCATCTAACACCTGCTGGGGTATTGAAATGCTGCAAAACACGCAAGACTGCTTGCAGGCTCCTGATGCCATATGGTGCTTAAGGCTCTGTAGCCATACCCAGGATGCACGCTGCATTGGTGTGTTGAGGGACCCTCCTACATAGCAAATGGGGCCACCCCAGACTGGTTTGTCCAAGAGTGAACTCCTCTCGCTCACAGAGGCACTTGAAGCTCCTGCAGCAGAAGCTCACACTCTCCAGGGAAAACGGTCTTTTAAAACCTCACAAGAAGCAAAAAGAAATGCCATTTATGGTACTTTTTAAAATAATATGTCAGTAAGGATTTTGTGTTAGAGGCAAGAAAAATAATGTGGGAGAACCTTTGACCTAGTCAACTCTCATTTCTTAAACTGTCTCACTAAGTTGCCGCTGGTCTGTGCTTACAGACTTATACTTCCCCTCTTGAAAAATTTAAATTTCAAGCATGCTGGTCAGCAACTATTTTTAGATTATCCCCTGTTCAGGCACAAAAATATAGTGATCACTAAGAATGCTAAAAAATTCTAAATAGAAAATTTTAATTGCTAATTTTGAGTGGCAGGTTTCTTTCACGCCCTTTGTTCCAGAGGCAGAAACGGCAGAATTACATTCAGCAATGCACAGCACAATCCTCTAGTTTGATGAGACCCTTCCACAAAAGGAGAATTGAGAACATTAGACTGGTATGGATGAAAGAAAGATGAGGGAATTCACTGGAGCTAATAATTATGAGGAAAATAACCTATGATGCTTACAGTCACTATCTCTAAATGGAATCAGAAATGAACCTGAAGCATAAAACGCTTTAAAAGGTAAAAAAATTAAATAGCTGTAGGTGGCACATGAGCTTGCAAAAGGCCCTTGCCAAAAGCACTGCAGAGGCCAGATGGTTAGGAGGATTCAGAGCAGGACCAGGCTTTGATACCAAGTAATGGGAACAGCCAGAACAACAGCAGACAGGTTTGAAAATAAACCAAAACAAGGAGGTCATGTTCTCTCATGCACCATGCCAAAAGTCAGCCACCAGAGAGGCATTTCTGCAGTGGGGAGGTTTAATTTAGGGGTCCAGGGTTTCCAGGGCTTTACTTGGAAAAACGGATGCATCCAAAGGAGCAAAGATGGTGTCAAGGGACCATTTTATGAGATGATGCTGGTTCCCATGTCCACCAGCTCTTCCGAGAGCACGTAGCAGCCACCGTTCCCCACTCATGTGCCTTTACATGTTCATACTCACCTAACATGCAGATTAGGTTCTGACAGGGGCCTACAAAATCAGGAATCAATCCCCAGACCAGCTAGGCTCCCCTTCCATCTCCCTTCTTGGGAACAGTGTTCTGAAAAGATAGGAAGCTCCCTCACTCCATTTTCCAGCAGCCCCCTTAGCCAGGCAATCAGAAATAAAAGCTGTCACACACATCTTTGTTTCCTTTCATACTTTGTAAATTTTTTAAATTTTTTATTATTATCTCCTCCTTTTAAGCATCCCTTTAAGGGTGAAATGAAATCCAACCATTTACAGAGAAAATGATTTCAGAATGTACATTTGATTTATCCTTACAAAAAGTTCATTATTACTTGCTGTTTATAAATTACAGAGTTGAAAGGAGCTTTGCAGATGCTCTTATTTTTTCTTTTCTTTTTAGTTTTTGGCAAGTCCACGCATTCTTTTTCCAAAGCAGGGTGTCCTGGAGCCCCTCCAGGAGCAACACTAGCAGTAGGTCCAGGTGGACCCCAGGCTCAGAAGTGCTGCTGGACCACCTCCAGGATGATACTGCATCATCATCCGCACAAGCAGGTAAAAACAGTGGTTTGAATTCTTAGGAGTATTTCAGATCCCTTCTTAATCCATTACCTGTAGTGCCCAAAGCTTTAAAATGTCAGTGTATTGCATTAGAAACAGTTCTTCTTTCTCAATGCTGGATCTGAGCCCCTCCTGCCACCCCCTTACCCTCCAGCTTCCCTTCCCTTTCCATAACAGGAGTGAGTTTGTCCAATGTCTCAAAAATCAGTAAGGAGGGGATCAGGAAGGGTAGGGAGAACACAATGATGGAGGGATACAGGAGCCATTCTCCCACTCACTTCCCTCCTTTCTTGCCAAGGTTAGAGGCCAGTGAAGCCAGGACGAGCCGTCCCTTCCCTCTTCACCACCAGTGTTCACTAACTGAACCAGGAGTGACCCTGGACACGCGTCTTCACAGTGCAGAGGCATAGCAGCCACAGAGATTACCGGCAGGAGCTGGGACACAGGGACATAGCCCCAGGGACTCTGAGGAGAGGAAGAGACACCATCCCACAAGGAAACAGCAAGGCAGGCAGAGGTTCTGAGCACCCATTCTGCTCTGACACTCTCCCTCCACACCAACTCCGTTTCCTTCTTCACCTGTCAGAGACACAGAGTAGGGTGGCCTGGGCAGCACAACCACAACACCTCAGCAGGACACAGGGATCAGAGAAAGCAACAGCAAGAGTGGGCTTGAGCATGTCATCCTCCATACCAACCACAGGCACAAAGTCACCGTGTCTTTTCTGTCACTTGGCTGTGGCATTAGCCCCAGATAGGCAAATACTTCTAACTTGCCCTATTCCCTCAGCTTTAGCAAGCTCACCTGCTGCAGGTGCACCAAAGCCCATGTCCTTCCTTTCAAAAAGAGGAAGAAGCATTCTCCAGTCCAAAGCCATGCACAGGCACACAGTCTCTTTCTAGGTGGGACGCACAAAGACAGGCAGAAAGAAGTGCAAGGCTTGGGTGTGCCACACACTGCATCACTTGTTTCCTGGCCCCACTTTTTAACAATTTGAAGGTAAAAAACGTTTTGGGAATGAAAAAGCACAAGGCTGAAGAAGGCTGCAGGAAAAGGCTAGTGATGTATTCCCTCCGTCCTGGACAGTTTGGTCCTAGAGAAACAGCAGGATTCGCTACCCACTGCCCCCATGGGCTGCAACATCTCACAGACATCAGGCTCTGATAGTCTGATCCCAGTTCCAGGACAAGGTTCTTGGTCTTTCCCTTCTCAAATCTCAGAACCTGGTTCAGGTAAGATGAAGGAGCTTCAGTGCTCACCTCAAAATCCAGCACTGGGAAACAAGGATCTGACACAAACCTGCCTCCTGCTTTGCCTCTCTCACCACCTCACACACGAACATACTTTTGACTTCCCTCTTGTGGCAGCTGCCTGGAAGGGTGGCTGTCCCACCTGCAGCTGGCTGCAGAGGTCCCAGCAGGCAGCACAGGCAAGGCTGAGCAGAGGGTAAACCACCACCTTGGAAATTCACTGTGTGAAAGCCAGCTTAGTAGTGTCTGTTCCCTCCAGGGACAAGAAGGAAGATCTTTAATGACAAGCACTCTAGCTCCCTAAGGATAATAAACACAGGGCTAGCCAGACGAATTAGACAAACATTGACTGGTTTGGCCTTAAATCAAAAAATGCTTAAACAATTCTTGAAAAAGAGAAACAATAAAGAATCCATTTCATCTGTAAAGCCCCTTCCTCCCACTACAACAGAAGTCTGGTTTCAATTTAATTTCCTAAGAATTAGGAAGTGAGTAAGTCCAGGAGGCAGGCAGGGCAGGAGTTCTGCAGAAGAGCCCCAGCATTCCTTTTCCAGCAACACCTTCTTCTCCAGCCCAAGGGAGCAGAAGGGAGAGACAAATTGGAGGAAGAAAAGAATGGTGGAGCAAATAATGGAGGACAGAAGGCAACAGGTTGTAGTGGAATGGGAGAAGGATACTGCAGCTGTGGCTCTGTCAAACTCCCAAGGGACAAGGGTCACACCTCAACACTGAAAACATGACTGCTGTGCACTACAAATCCAAGGATGGCCATGCATGGGAAGGGCTGATATCAGAGGAAAGGCTGCTCCCACTATGGAAGATAAGGAGGTGCAACCCCAGTACACATAAACTTCAGCTCCTGCTGAACTGGGGCTCTGGTGCTGCCAAAGCAAAAGAGTGGCTTGTCTTTCTCCTCCCCCAGCAAAGCCTGGCACTGACCTTGTGTTATTATCACTGAGACAAGCAAAGCCCAAAGGTGCAAGAGCAGACCTCAGGCTCATTCCTCAGAGTAAAAATGAGAAATGGCTTCTTCCTTCCATGCTGTGCTGCTGCTGAATTGCACGAGCTAACACAGCTGCTCTCCTCCAGCTGTCCCTGGGGAAAGCATCTTCTGCCTGTGCTGCATCCTCAGTGCTATGGCTTTCATCTTGCTCAGTACAGGCTCCTCCTTTCTCAGCTGGGACCCAGTTTCTCTATCACCTCTCTACACCCAAGACCTCCACACAGCAGCTCAGCACCAGAAGCCCATGACTGTGAAGGGAGTTCCTTCTGCTACATCTATAAGTCTGGACTTAAAAAAGCCACAACTTCCCTCTGGGGGAAGAGCATTCTGCCTAGCAAAGTTTGTCTGTCCACCCAGCTCCCAAAGGGGCTTCTCTGCCTGTGGGGAGGACACAACAGAACTAAGAACAGTGATTTTAAAGAAATCAAAAATAGTAACAAAAAAGAGGCTCCCTTCAGTTCTTCTGAGCAGGCATTATGGCACACAACATGTGGAAGGAGCTAAGGTGAAGTGCATCTCCATTTGATCAGAAAAAGACATTAATCTTTTTATTCCAGTCTCTGCCTTATTAGGCAAGCAAGTTATTTTTGTTAACAATTTTCTCCTCTCTAGAGAGGGGACTAGGAAGGAAAAAAAGAGAGAGGTATAGATAGGAATGAAGCACAAGGGTGGCACGTGCTGGGCAACGCAGGACCATGGAACCCTGATGGCGTTAAGGGCAATGAAAACCCTCCTGCTTTATAACAGCTGGCCAGAAGAGCCACACTTCTTTGTGCCAACGCCTTCCTCTTTATCCTCTTCCATGATTTCTGCTTGGAACATGAGTCAGTCTTTCCACTGCAAGGCTAAGAGAGCAAGTTCATTATGATTTTCACCCTCTGCCCACTACAACCCAGGCTCTGGGCACCCTGTCAAGCCATCTGCTAAGGAAGGGTGGTGGCAAGGGTGGAGACAACAATCTGCCTCCTCCGTGAGCTGAACAATCCAATACAACAGCAGGCCAGATCCTCACTGCTCGTGCCTGAGCAGGCACCAGCCCAATCAGCTGAAATTAGCAGACTCCTAAATCCCTTCTCCCCTCCATGGTCTTGTCTGCATGGCCCAGGCTGCACAACTGTGGTCCCCAAACAGTCTCTTGGCCCCAGGAAGAATCTGCCAATGGCTTGCTTCTTCGTGAGCCCCCTTACACCCTAAGGTCAGACAGATGGATCCCGTGCATTGACAGGCTTTGTTTGCCCACAACAATCAGAATTTTGCCCTTCCTCTTCTCCCTTTTATTACCCCATGGTAAGAAGTAGCCAGCGCATGTAAGCAGCAGTCCTGCTACAGGCACAGCCTGCAGGGCTCTAGAAGCAGCCAGAGAGGCTTCCAACAGTCCCAACAAGTGTAGCACTGCTATGCAGAGCCGATGCTATCCCTGGTCCTCTCCTATGAATTGCCCAAGAAGTCATCCATGCCAACACTGAGACCACAGCTTCTGCATCCCACCATTTTCTGCAAGCACACACAGCCAAGCCCCACTGTGTCCTACTCCCCCACTCAATACTGGTAATAAACACCCAAGTGCACACCAAACCCATGCATGTGAGCACTCATGCACACAGGCAACCATGCATTTGCAAACATACACTCCCACCATCTGACTGAGTCCCCCACAGCTTATCCCAGCCCTAACAGAAGCATGTACTGCAGGGAAGCTTTGGCTTCTGTAGGACAAGTCCATGCAGTGTTGTGGGGGCAGGAGGAAAAATAAGCAGGAAAAACCCCTCAAACCCAGCTTTCTCCTCTGCTTCCTATCTATCTGCTCCAGGATTGGTAGAGTACTGGGGCAGCCCAGGACAGAATGCATTAAGCCTGTGCAACGGGCTGCATATTGACAAGGACACCTTGGAAGCAAAGGATTTCCCTTCCCCAAAATACCCTTTGAATATAGCAGTATTAAAAAAAAAAAAAAAAAAAAAGCATACTGAGATGCTTTTGTACATTCACTCATCCAAAAAATGCCAGTGACACACATCTGCACACACAACCACTCACAAGAGTTTGTGCCTGCTGACTCACATGCTCACTGAATAACCCAGGCTTGCATCTATGCTTGCTCCAATCCACAAAGGATGAGGGTGGATGGGAACAGCTGCCCTCCCTCCCCATGGGACCCTCTCAGCCTCCCCCAGAGGAAAATCTGCCAGCTGGCTGCAGAGATTCTCTCCAGCCAGCAGGAGAGGCTCAGAAGATGCAAGGAAGTCTTTATGCTACTACAGAGTGGGTCCTCAACATCTCTCTTCCTCCTGTCCAGGCCTCCCTTCATGTGACTGAGGAATTTGGGTTCCCAGGCATTACCCTGGGATGAAGGAAAGGAGAACAGGAAGTGAGGGAGGGCAGAGGCCCCAGAAAAACAGCACACCCTGCCCATAAACAAAGGAAACAAAAGAAGAAAAGGAACAAACGAAAACACCCGACTCTTTCCCTTTGTTGTGAAGTTCCAATTTCCCACCCGAGCCTGAGCCTCGTGGCCTCACCCAGCACCCTCTGCCTTTCGGTAGGGATTCTCCAACAAGTAGCGGAACCGCTGGTAGTTCTTGAGCAGGTACTTGGGAGCATACATCTGCTCCTTGGGGTCAGCAGGGGGATACTCCTGCATAGTACCATCGAACCAGCCACCAGTCCGGATCAGCTCCCGGATATAATTGAGGTCTCGTTTATCCTCGTAGTCACCCCAGCGGGGAAAGTCCCCGTTCTGGGCTGACACCAGTTTGAAGTAAATCCCCTCTGGGGTGAAACACCAGGAGCAGTGCCAGCCAGCAAAGTGTAGTGGGCTGCCCAGTGACCACTGCACCAGGATGTGTCCTGTGCTGTTCTCATACTGCCGGAACCCAGGCATGGTGTAGTACTCACGGCGTCGCAAACGTATCCCGTCGGTAGCATAGACAGCCTGGAGCATCCCCATGGTGCAGCCCGAGACCACCTCCAAGGTGCCTGGTTGCTTCCAGAAGAAGCCATAGAGCGACTTGCGCATGTGAAAGGCAAAGGGCTCCGTCCAGCCGTCGTAGAGCTTGAGGAAGAGCACGCCATCACGGGCCGGGATCTCATCAGCATCATCGATGATGAAGACGTCGTCCGGGCGCAGGTTGCGGAGGCGAGATATGCCATCCCGGGTGAGGAAGGTACGCAGGTAATCGTCTGCAATCCAGCCATCCTGGCGGCCACCAGGGGGGAAGTGGTCCAGGAAAACGTAGAGCACCTTGTGGCGGATGTAGTCGAAGGAGCCATTGAGGAGCATCTCGCGGAACTTGAGTGGCCGCGGCTCTCCGTAGGCTGTGAAGTTGGACTCGCACACCACGAAAGCATCCACCACGTCTCCCAGCTCATGGAAACGGACATCCAGCAGGTCAAACTCATGATTGACGTTGATGGCATTGATCACCCGCCGGGGGATCTCCCGCGGCACGAGGCGGTCCTTGGTGGGCAGGTTGGAGTACTGGACCACGGTGGGGACCCCACAGCTGGGGCCGTGCCAGCCCGGCAGACACACGCATTCCACCCACTTGCGCCGCTTGGCTCCGCTGGAGCTCAGCGGCTTCCGAGCCGGCCGCCCCGAGGCTGCGCCGTCCACTCGCTCCTCCTGCCGACCTCCCACGGGTGGCTTCTCCAACACCTTGGTGCCTGGTTTAAAGCAAATGCCACCGGCTTTGGTACGGACAAAGTATTCTGTTGAGTCTTCTGGCAGCACGAACTCAACCTTGTGCAGCTCTTCGCTGGCTCTGCTGGGAGACAGGGGCTGGAGCAAGGGGGAGTGGGAGTACAGGGGTGTGCGGAGGAACTCCGCACCCCCTGGCTCAGGGCTGACCTGAGGTGTGACGGGGGCATTGTTCCAGAAGAAGCTGGAGACGAGGTTGGGACTAAGCGAAGCCAGCTCCCTGGGGAAGGTGACATAGGAAAGGGCCTTGAGGAAGTGCAAGAAGGAGATGAGGCAGAGACCAGCCATGCAGAGAGTCAGAAAGAGTTTATGGCGTCTCATCTTCATCCTGTGGAAGAGCCACGAAAAGGAAAGTCACATTCAATAGTTACTGAGATGCAGAAAGTTTACCACTGTTAGAAAAACAGGTTGGGGAAGGCAGGAATGCTGGTCCAAATTCAGCATGCATCTTTAGAGACTTGACTCCAATAACTACACCCCCCACCCCCTGCCATCTTCAGTGCCTTTTTCTTCAGCTGGGTTACATCAAGCTGAACTTCTGCTAGATCAATCTCATAAATCCACAAAGACAAGAATGGCACTAGCAATGGGGTAGAAAGACAGGAAATCCAGAGTAACAGGAATTCATGATCTAGTGAACTTACCACACTTGGCAGATTTGCCCCTGTTCACTGATGGAAATTAAATGAATGTAAACCTCCTCAGAGGTGCACCACCAGAGGATTGGGAGAAAATGAAAAGAGCAGGAAGGGTGAGAGAGTTGGGGGGTGGGCATGGTTGAAACATGACCAGTGCAAGAGAGGCAGTTTTAAAGGACCAAGATCATTAGTCAGACTGCCAGAAGCAGCCTACACTCTCCAGACCTTTACAGTGTTTGTACAACACACACCCTAAAAACCACCCTTGTTCTTAGGAAATACTACCCAAGTTCACATGGAGGACAGGAAAACAAAAATAAAATTAAGATACTGTCTCTTCCACCTGTGATTCTCAAGTCCACTGTATCTCCATATGCTGCCGTTTGCGATTCACTTTCTGTAGACCAGATGCTGAGGTTTTTCTGCATCTGGATCAAGGTGACAAAAATAAATGCCTAGCTGTCTCTGCCAGTAATACTGTGCCATCATGATGGATCCACGACAGGCCAGGAAGAAGCCAGTGGTGCAGAGCCCTTCCCTCCAAACAACATGAAACATTGCCTTCATCCTCCCCTCCACCACCTCCCCTCCTCCAGCCCGGGCAGGGAACATAGAACTGCTGTCAGGCAGAGAAGTGATTGAAGACTACAATTCAGAAAAAGGACATTAAAAAAAAAAAAAAAAGAAAGAAAAAAGCTAATCTCACACAGTGCTTCACCAAGAAAAAGTAGAAAAGGTGTTCACCACCTGCTGTTTAGGGAAAGGCAAGTTGGGGCAAAAGTGGGCATAGGAGAAAGGTCATCCAAAAGTAGTTTTCAAGGCAGAGGCTGTCTTGGAGCATGACACCCTTCCTGCAGTGACAAAGAAGCAGAGATCCCCATGCATGTGACACATACCATTTCACCCCCTCCACATGCTCCATTCTGGTGGCTCTCTTCCTGGCGCAGTCTCCCTTCCAGGGCCAAAGTTCCTGAGAGGCACCATCATTTATAAAGGTTCCACCTGGCACACAGTGGTGCCAGCAACACCTTCACTGGAGGCAGTCCCTGCACCTGGGGGTCATGGGGAAGCTGCTCCACACCACCAGCCCCACACGTGGGCAGGTGTGGAAGAAGAACCCAACCAGCTCCCGCCACTTCAAAGGCTATTAGGTAAAATACAGCAAAGTGTGTTTACTGATTAACTTGAGGAGAATTTAATACTAAAGTGAAAAGCCATAAAGCATTTAGACAGATGGCAACTGCTCAAAGGAAAATGTATCTGGCTTTCCACAGATGACTCTGGCAAGGACTTTGGTAGAGGGGCTGTCCACAGTTGTACCTTACAGCTCAGCAACAGCATTTCTGGACACTTGGCAGTCACATTTTTAGTGGAAATCACTATCCACTGACATTGTCCCCAGTGCTCAGGTGGCAGGGCAAGGAGTCCTGGATTAAGCTCTGACTGAAGGAGTACAAGCCTGAAGCTGGTGGAAAAGTTACAGCATGGTTATGGGAGGGGAAAAATTGAAAGAAAAATAAACAAGGAAAAAGGAAAGAGAGCTTGATTCTATTGGTTAATGTTTAGTAGGGGTTTTGATATACTTTGCCACAACACAAGTCAGCAGCAGGGCAGGGTGCTGGCTCTGGACATCACCTTTGTAGTGGCCCAGACACTAAGGGGCTGGGATATTCTTCTGTTAAAAGCCATAAAAGATCATCTTGGGGCTTGCTGTCAAGCTTTCTTCACGAGGGCAAAACAAAGGGCTGCAGAAAATGCCATGAGCATCTCTTTCTATCCATGCTCATTTTTTTTTTCCTTGAGGCTCTGCTGATGTCTTGCAGAAGCAGCAAGATCACTTGTAAAAGAGAGGAATATTCAGTGTCTTTTCCTTGCACATCACTAGTTTTTAGTCTGTCTTTAAGTGTAGGGAAGAGAAGAGCACAAGGAAGCCAAACCCCTGCTAAATTAGCTGAGTGACTGGGGGTCAGTAGAAAGTGTCCCTCACTGGTAATTGAGTACAGCTTTCTCCAGTCAGGTGTCCTGTGACTTCTCCAAGGCATTACTTCCAGACATGAGGCTGCTCTCTCAGACACTGAAACCAGGGCAAGATGAACAGCTGACCTGCTCCAATATAACAATCCCAATGAGTGCCAGGTAATGCTGGTTTCGCTCCAGTTCTTACAGGATACACAAAGGCAGGTCAGCCAGCTTCCTCTGGGCCAGCCCAGGGCCGAAGGCAAGTGGTGAAGGAATCACAGAAGGAACATCATCTTCTCAGATGGCACTGATGCTCGGCATGCCGCAGTAAATTCCCAGACAGAAAGCCGTAACTCTTGACATTCAACAAACTGCTCTGCTTTCTGAGATGCAGCATGCCGTGTCAACATAGCAGGATGCATGGTTTTAGGAAGCAAAGCATATTTTCCTCACTTGACATTAGCATACATCAGTATCTGTCAGGCTCAGCATGTGGCTCTGCAGCTCTTCAGCCACGGGCACAACAAGCTCCAGGCAAGGCTGCGCTGCCTCGGTTCCTACGCCGGGCTGGTGTGCACAGCCCTTCCCAGCTGCTCTGCCAAGCCAGCTGGCCCTGCAGTACCCTCTGCTGTTCCGCTGCTGACACGGCCCAGGAGGCAATTTTCACTGCTCAGATGGTTTTGTTAGGGAGTGGGAACACAAACCCATTTCCTAACCCCTCCTGAAAGAGGGGAAGCAAAGGAGCAAGGTGTGTCCTTTTCAAAATCTCTTGCCTGGGAACCACCTTCATTCTCACATGCCAGGGATTCTTCTGCCAGGGAGTGGAGAACACTCATGCACCCTTGGGTGAGCCAAGACACTAAATACCATCCATCATGTATCCCTTCACATATCCTCTGCTCAGCCCTGCAGTGGAAGACATGTCTGGTGGCAGCTGGAGAGTCAAGTTGGAGACAAAGGCCAGCAAGGGAGGATTCCCCACCCTCCCCATTCAAAATGTTTACATGCGGTGGAAATTAAAAAGGAGGTACCAGTCAGGGAGACATCTCAGTTTGTTGCAGAAGAGCCCAGCTGCTCCAACACAAAGCAGCCATCAGAGACCAGGAACACAGAAAACAGCAAGAAGAGGTATTTCCCTTCTGAAAATTTTGACTGAGGAAGGGGAAAAAAGTCAACTTGATCTCTGGGAGAGTGATCAAGTTGCTGTCAGCAGCAAGAAAAACTTTAATGTTCAAGAAGAAGAAAAAGCCTGAAGTAGTATGGACAGTCAGCTCCATTAAGACAAAGCTCTTTAGGGAGTGCACAGTTATAGACTGCTTCAGCAACACACAATCCTGGAGAGACAAGCTGAAAGCTTCTTTTTGTAAGGGATTCCTTTGATATTTCCTTGCTTGAAGTTCTGTCTCTACCATGCAGGGGAAGTGCTTTCAGAAAAGGAGAAAAGCTAGAAGTGTTATGCACATGAGTTATCCCCAGGCACCTGTTACCGTTTTAGTGACCAGTTGATTTACACCATTCTGAAATATTATACTTCTTTTTCAAGAATCCAGAGAGAAAGATATGCACCGATAAGAGCTGGCAGTTCACCAGCCCCAATGTTCTCTTCTGGAGAACACTGGCAAGAGGCCACACAACAGGATACAGGCTTGTTACCCCATCTTGTTAGGGCATGGGACTCAAGACTCGTTAGACCTCTCCCACGGCTACAGGGAAAACATAACTGTGGAGAACAAGTCAGAGCAGAAGCTTCTGGTTTTCCCCTGATACCAAAATGCTCATCTCCTCTGCCTAAAGTTATCCCATAACACCCATGCAGTAACATATTTGCAGATCACTCAGACACTTCAACACAAAGCAGCAATTCAAATTAGAATCACTTTCACATGGCAGATTAAAAACCCAGTATGACTTCCACCCCCCACTCCACACAGAGGGCCCAACTCTCTCTGCTCCAGCTAGAGACAAATGGAACAGGCTCCACATTTCTGGGGTACTAGGTCTACCTGCCATCCTCAAGCACAGGAACCAAGCAGGCATCAGAGCCTTAGTACCTCTAAACACTCCAAAAATCTCAAGTTACTTTTGTCCTGCAAACATCCACAGAAGGAGAAGCCATAAAACTTAGTATTTGTCAACAACTAAAACAAGCTCAGGGACAGCAGGACTGCACTTTGCTTAAGGGTAGGAAAAGGAGATTACCCTACATTGCAGGAAAATCTGAGAGTAGCAGGATGTACCAGAAGGTAGCTAGGGCTCAGCATCTCTCACATGAAGGATGCCACGGTGTTTTCAGGGACTGCAAGCTACAAGGACATCAGTGAGAAGCTCTGGCAGTCACAGCACAAGGTGGTTTCCATGTAAGCAGGTCTGTATCAGCTTCCTGCAAGTTCCAAGGACAGAATAAAACATTCTTCTGTGTCCTTCATCAAGAGCTGCTGCCCACAGCACAAATGCAAAACAGCAATACCTCAGACTCTGTGTTTCCTTTGCAGCCTCAAGGCAACTGACCACAAGGTGCCACTGACTTGGTGCCAGCCCAAACAGCTGGATGCAGCCATCCAGCACGGTCACTCTCCAAGCAAGGTCAGGCTGAGGGACAGCAAGGCTCTGTCCTAAGCACCTTCCCTCCATTTCTGCAGACAGACAAGGAGAGTGGTAAGGTAACCACTCAATAGTGTGCCAGCATGAGTCCCATTTGGCTCCCAGAGCTGCCATCCACACACCAGTAACAGGTCTCGTCAAGTCAGAAAGAAAACCAGACTGAGGAAAAAAAATAGTTAAAGGTGAATCTACACAAAACCAAGGTTTGAGGTTGGCCAGGGAAGGGCGACAGCACAGCACAAAGAAAGGCATTGCCTTCCCCTTCCCAGGAAAGCCAGGCACATGATGTACATGTCAGCCACAACCTTCCAGATTGTGTACAAGACCTTGCTAAGTCTCAACAGACCTGCAGCATCTACATTCAAAAAACAAACAAACCAAGTATCTCTTCTATGCATTCCTCTAGGAGACCCAAGTGCTCCACACCAGCAGCTACTATCTGCTGCACACAGAAAGTAAGATGGATGCAACACAAAGCCTCCAGCTTTATAAGTGCTGTGGCTGCTCACCTGTTCACCTCTGCAAGCACAGTATCTTCAGAATCCACTCTTCCCATGGACTTTCATTGTTTCAACTGTTCTCTCAAGTGCCTTGTCCTGCCCTTCAGTGGACTAAGCCGTGGTTATTTCAGATGCTACACCTCCAGTCACAGCAAAACAGCCATGCACTGTGGGCAGCAGCTCTTAACCCTCCATACAGAACACATGGGACCTGGAGATAAAGCGGTCTTTGTTGACAGGATTGTCTCAAAACTGATCTTCCAGAAGTTAGCATCACAGACCAACATCTGAACACCTTCAGAGTCCATTATAAAACTCTCCACTCAGACTGTTCTTACTGTAGCTACCGTATTACTAACAGCAGCAATATATAATTATAAAATCTAAAAGAAGATCTCAGAAAAGACTAGAAAACGCTAGTGAAATCCAGTAATGACCTACAAGACACCAATTTAATTTTATCCAAGAAGTACTTGGACATCACAAGGGTGCAGTACTGCATGCTAAAGGAAACTAAGCTGGATTTCCAACTCCACTGCAATCAATCAAATATTCTTCTCAGTATCCTTCAGATATGCTGGGCTCCCTTGTAGCTAATCTTCTCTCTCCAGCTAAATCCAGTCTCACCATAGGAATTTCCACTGCTTCAGAGATGCTTCTGCACACTCTAATCCTTCGGAGGTTCTCAGAAGCTTCTCCTTCAATTTCTTAGCATCACTAGTCTGAGTGCTCTTTCCACTACAGGAGAAGCAGAATCTCTTTCTCTCACTTATCCCTGATATCCTGGAAGAACTCTTCCTCAACCCTGCTTATTGCCTCCTCAAAACATCTGGTTCCACAAAGTCTGCAGTGATGGCCCCGGAGCTTGCATCACCCCTTGGCTCCCAGGCTGGGCCTCTCCGCACATCAGAGAGGCATTGCTCCCTGCGCTCACCCAGGATGCGAGGCCCTTCTCCCGGACAAACACGGCACTGCTGCTGCTCGCTGCTCCAACTGCACAGCAGTCAGTCACTGCAAAACACAGCTGCTCATGTCTTCTGGTGTCTTACAGGGAAAGAGTACTCCATCATGAAGAACAGGAAAGGGAAAGGGGACAACACTATGCAAAAAAACAATTTATGTCTTCAGAGAGACCATGGGGTAATCAAACAAATATGCAAGATCTCCCTGCTAGTTTTGGTGCCTTGCAAAGAGGGACAGGCCAAAACCAAATCATGCTTTCAGAGGCTTCAAGTGAGGCATGTGACAACACAGGCTGTTGTGTCAGAGGTTCTCCCCCTTCACTCACCACCATCACAGCTTACCCATCCCTCAGTTGTCAGTTGTATGAATGCAAGTTGTCAATCAGATGAAAGTTTGCTTTTACAGCCATATCAGCAGCAGATCTAACTGGGTTAAAAATAAACTTGAAGAAAACACCTAGGCATGGGAACAAGCAGATGACCCACAGAAACTTTCTAAATTATTTCACCGGTTCACTTCTAATCAAAACACATAGATGCAGATACATCCTCAGATTCTCAAAATTACATAACTGTAGGTGCTGTTCATCTAACCAAACCTCCAATAAGGCCCCCATTCAACCACCATGAGCTCACTAATTCTTCCCAGCAGCATCAGAGAAGGAGCACATCTCAAGGAAGGAAGTGGAAGAACCAGCAGCAGCAGGCAACTGCTTTCAATGCAGATCCTGGCAGACACTCTATGCAGGTCAAGGAAGTGGAGTACAAGCCACAAATCCTGAGAACAGCTCCAAGATGAACAGTCCAGATTATCCTCAGACCTGCAGGCCCATGGGTGAAGAGCACGCTGTAGACATGCCAAATCAGGCACGCAAACCCTGTGCAAAGGAAAGCAGGGACTGTGTGACAGCCCAAGCAACAGGGAGATGCAGGTTGAAGAGGCCAGAGGAAGGTGAAGTGTCTGCCCTGTGAGCCCAGAGCAAGGCACTTAAAAGAGGAAAGAGGCAAGAAACACTTGATGCCATGGTGATGGGTGAAGCACACAGACCCACGCAGGCAGGAGAAACCACATTAACTCTGCTATTTTTGAAGTGGGTGGCAGTTGTTTGTGCATCCCCAGGATAAAGGCTCTCTAAGATGGATCAAGGAGCAGAATAATTAAACCCCAGGAAGACAATAAATAAAGAGAGGCCATGGAATAGCAGCAAGATCCTAGTGGCCAGAAGAGCTGGCCCTCCATCCCCACCCTCTTTCCTCCCCCATCCATCACCAGCTACTTGGGGTTTGGCAGTGTGCTCACTTTCCCACAGTAGCCGATCTATTACTGTTTGGAAGAGCCTCTTCCTTCCCCTCCTCCCCTCCTTTTCAGGCCACAGGGGTCCTGCTTGGCAGCCCCCGGATCCCCCTCTACTCTGAATATCTGGTGACCAGCCAATCCCATGCAAAGAGAATTAACCCCTCGTAACCAGGAACAAACAGAGAAACCTGACTCCATGCAGAGAGGTTTCTCTAGGATGTCTCTCCCTCCTTCTCTCCACCCCTTCCCCAACCCCCGCTGCTCACTCTCTCGCCTTCCCCCCACTTTCCTTTCATTTCTCAAAAACTAACTCCAGCCCAGGGAGTGTCACATCTTCCTGAGAATGTTACACAAGCCCATGGGAATTTTTCTTGGACCACGAACAGACCCTTATTTATTTGTCTCTTCTGCCTTTGTTCTTAATTTCCTCTTTCAAGACTTAGGCAAGACCTCGACACAGTGCTGCCTGGATCCCCCGCTGCCACTTCACTTTCTTATTATTTTCGGAAAGAAAGGGCCGATAGGCAGAGAGCTCTTCAGTGCCTTGCCCCGAGGCAGGAATAAGTCAGCCCAGACTCCCACCTCTGGGGTGGACAAAGGGCATGAGCTCAGGAGCTCTGGCTTGCAGAGACAGCCTCCTGCTAATGTTATCCTTCTGACTGCAGCATTGCAGCCCCTTGGATTAAATCCCCACGAATCAATTCTGCAGTCACAGCTCTATGCCGATAACTGGCATATGGTACCACGAAAAGGGGCAGTTTCCCAGAATGAAATCAAAAGCTTCCTAATGCACTTAACTCAAGGTCACATAAATCTCCCTTCTGCCTCCCACAGACAACTGGACCTTGTTTACAGGCATTGCAGCAGGCCTGGGTCTCAACAATATGTTTACTACTTCTGCACAACATTCCCTTTCACTAAGCAAAGCAGTACCCTGATCTCCAGATTAATCCAAGCAGAAAGAACTAGAAGAAGGTCTATGGAGAAAGAAGGACAAAGTTTTTCTTCATCAGCAAAACCAAATGCCATCCTGGACATCACACAGATTTGGGGATCATTTGTCTTCACATTAGGTTGCCTTAATTCTTGAGAAGGATGAGGAGGAATTTTTTTGTTTAGCCAGACAGTGATGCCTCTGACAAGAGGTAAAACCACCTGATGAAAGAATGGGTTCTTTTCAGGCTGATGAGACCAAGAACCAGGCCAGGGCAAGACGGGACAGCACAGTTTGTCCAGGGAACATACCTGTCCAACTTTGCTCCAAACGCAAAAGCCACAAGAGAAAACCATGCAAATAAAAACAGGGAAGCTGAGCATTTCTGCTCAACTGCACAACAGACAGAGCAGTTTACTACCACAATCACTTGATTACTGGCCAAGTTTCTTTCTCCACCCTCAGCCCTCTTCCTCTCCTTTCAGGTCTTCAGTAACACAAACATTTGTATTGAACTGTGTTTCTGAGAAGTCAGCTGCCACAAACAGGTCAAAAAGGAAGGAAAGAAGAAACACAGAATTTTTGTGTAAGCACATTATGAAAATTGGTTATGAACAAGCAGGACATGTAGTGCAGGAGGGGAGCTGTGGTCATGTTGAAGTCAAAGGACAAGCAGGGCAGAAGCAGGACAGCCCACCGTGAGGTGCAGCAACCTGCCACAGTGAGGCAGAGGTACACAGGGCATTAAGCTCAAACACAGCTGGACTACCCAACTCATCTTCATGATGCTCCATTGCTGCAGGAGACTGTAACAAACTGCCCCAATCAGCTTCTCCTCAGGATGTAATCACTGAGAAGTGATGGGAATTTCAGCTGCACAGCTTGCTACTCAACCACCTGGTCTACCCAGTGCTCAGGTCCCCATAATCTTGTGCAAAGTCCAATGGACTTTGGTGTCATGAGAAATCTAAAAAACACTTTGGCAAGACAAGATGGGCCTTTGAAAGAATAAAAATGCTTTCAAGTATCTAAATATTTTAGAGAACAGTCCAGAAGATTCCACACTGTAATTGAATGAGGGACCAAATTCAAGCACCGGATTCATTGTCTCCAGCTTGACAGTCTCTTTACCGCAAGGACAAGGCTCTGAACTCAGGAGCCTCTCGCACAATCCCAAACCACAGAGATGCTCAGTAGTATCACGCACCTGAGTCATAGAGAAGCCAAAACTGCATTTTCAGGGCAGTTCAGCTGCACAGAGCCATATACAAACAAACACAGACAGAAAGGAAGCCCACAGCACTTCCTCATCACTAAGTGATAGACTCTGGATGCCTGACAAACTCCCCTTCCCTCCCCCCCAGTGCTCATGGGAAGCGAGAAGACTGTTCCAGAGCACAAGTGCACTATAAATAATTCAAGAGTCTGCTAAATTATGCAAAAGCAATCCCATCGTACCCCCAGCCAAGCTGAATGCAGGTGTGGTCAACCCCTCCTCCAGAAGTTGCTGCTAGATAGGGATTCTGAGGCCACAGAGGCTTTGTGCCAATAGCACATATCTGAGAGCACATCGGCCACTTGCTCACAGCCAGGCCTGCACCAAGCAACGGCACGAGAGGAGGTATTTGGGGACACAGGGCTGATGGGGAAACAGCAGCTCCTTTAATCCACCTCTTCTCCAGAGACCTCACATGGCCCCAGGAGCAAATGTAGAAAATCGTGTCCCCTTCAAGCAAGGCTGCTCAGTAGGTCTTGCCTCCATGGATCGGATTAGCTCGCAAAAGCTGCAGCTGGACAGCATTGGCACAGTGAGGCAGGGAAGAAAGGACTGCAGGTGGGAAGGAGAAAAGGGAACAAAAAAAAAACCTCTGGAGTGGTAAAGAAAGAAGAGTTTTGCTAACACAAATAACATACAAGGAAGGCTGAGCTGAAAGCAGAGTTCTGCTGCCTCAGTCTTCTGCCTTTGGGAGATCCTGCTTCCCTGAATATCAGGGCTTCCAAAGTTTCCCTTGGAAATGGGGTCATTAAGCAACAAAGTGCAGCTCACGCTGATCACTCCAGGGCACTGCTCTCCTCATTTACCCTGCCCTTTGCTCTGCCTCAGAGCCAGCCCCCACGCCACAAGCTCCAGAAAAACACAGCTTCCTCACACACAGTGAGCACCATGCACTCTCAG